AACGCCTCAATCTATGACGACCCTAGCGTTGTCACCTGCCCCACTTGCTTCCGCCTCTTCTTCATCTTCAGGCTCAGAGTCAGGTTCCAGCGACCGCTTCTCGCCCAACCAGCACTGGACATAGCACACCATCTCCATGGTATTCCACCGCATGCCAAGGTTGCTCGGGTGGACCTTCTTGCGAATGGAAATAACCCCTTTGGTCACGCAGACAGGAAGAATCTTGTGGAAACAGTAGACCCCTTATACTGGCGAACCGCGGCAGCGCCCGCCTCACGAACAGCCTCCGCCTTCGCCATGTCGTGCAAGCGCACCAAATCTGCCTTCTCTTCAGCAAACTCGTCGCGAAGTTTCTGAAGAGCCGCGCCATGCTCCTGTTCAAGCCCGCTTCTTCTCTTCTGCGCGCTCCTCCATAACCCGCTGCATTTCCTGGTCGAATTCCCTTTTCAGCTCTTTGCGAATCGCCGCCTTCTCCTCGACCAGCGCCTGTTCCTTCTCCGCGGTTATCTCCTCATCTAGACGACTTTGCAACACGCTGAGTCGCGCCAAAGCCTCGTTGGCCTTCTTGGTCGCGCTTTCCGCCCGACTTTCCGCATTTTCAGCTTTGCCCTTTAGAATGAGGGACTTGCCCAGCTCGGCCTTCAAAGCCGCGGTGTCATTGGTCCTCTCCTGTTGGGCGCGGAAAGTTGCCAGCAACCCCTGTTTCAAACCCGCCCAATAACTTGTCAAAATAAGCAAAAAAAAACAAAATGAGAGGAGAAGAGAGGAGGAACGAGCAAAAGTGCAAATGACGAATCTCCAAAAGGAAAAGGAACAAACTTACGGCAAAGTGCAGCTGCGCCAGATAATGCAGCGCATCAGCCCCATCCAAGCGAGGAGGCACGTGAAGAGCGGGAGCCACCGCCTGCAGTGACATCTGCGCGGTAGTGGTCGACGATGGCGCACCAGCATGCAGACGCACTTCACGCAGAGGTGTCTGAGCCAACATCTCAAACCCCGACATATCGGGCAAAATTTGTTGCACAGATGGGTCAGTCGGAGCCGCCTTCTCTGGACGGGGGAGCCTACCCACGCGGATATCACCCCCCGCAACGGAAGGCTCTGCGGCTGCGCTCACCTTCAGAGCCTTACTTGGCCTCTCAGCAGCCTGAGGAGGATCCGCCTCTCTTCTCTTCTTCTCTACGCGCGGAGCCTTGACGACGTTGTCAACCGCCATCATCGTCACAACCGATGAATAGTCAACCCCTACAACAAAAAGGCGTAAGAAGACCATTAATACCACAGAAGACAAAGACAAAAGAGGAATAAACTAACAGTCATCAAAAAGTTCCGCGAGGCGAGCCGATCCGCGCGGACCCCACTACGATAAAGATCAATCTTCTCCTCATACAGCTCCTCCATCTCATCATCCATGCCATCGTATTTACTTACATAAGACTCAAACCCATTCACGCTACCGCTCTTCCATACAGTGGGCTCCTCCATATACTCCTGAGCCCACTCACAGGAGCAGGTTCCACAACGAACTCGTCTCGAACATCTCCTTCCAATCGAGAATAGTGTATTGGGCGTCAATAAAGCGAGGCCCGAGCCGACTCATAGCCTCAGCCACTCTCGCGCAGGGAAGAGGCAAATCCGACTCCGTCTCTGACACCTCCGCGACACTCGATGCGCCAGAACTGGAATTGTCAGGGTTCCCCCGACAGATGATCAACACCCCACGACCGCCTGCCATCGCACGCTACTGCGCCGCTGTTGATCATCCCCCACGAAAAAATTTCTCTGGGACCCCTCCCTGGGGTCGTCAACATAAGTTGGCATCGTCAGGTTCCCGCCAGCGCCTGCTCTGCCGCTCCTGCCGTCGCCAGATTCATCCAAATCTAGAGAAGATCAGTAGAGACATGAGAATGAGATGAAAGATTACCTTCTTGGTCGATGACGACCTTGACCTCCTGATTGCTAGCACCACTGGCCATCGCAACAAATGAATGAGAGAACACATGAGGAACAAGGTCGCAAGTGAAGGAGAAGAATCGAGTGTCGAACTACTTTGACAGAGGAAAGACGAGGATGGAAAAGAAAAGTGATCTCAATAACTCGAAGAGGGCCAATTTTTAACCCTGGGGGGAGAAGGGCAAAACATTCCAAACCACCTCAAGAAGAGAAAACGTCGCATTAACTTTTTGAAATTCAAATTTCAAAATTCCGAGGACAACTGCCAGAGAGGGCAAACGGGGAGACGCCACGTGGACAAGGAAAACCAAAAGGCGCGAGGGGGGCACCTGCTGGAGTGCACCAACAAGGCGGCAACGCCTACTGCTTCCGCGCACCGCCTGGGGCCAGGGTACTCCAGCAGACAGAAAAACCATACGGCGGACCAGAAACAAAAAAAAGGAGATAAAAAAAACTCACCCCGAAATTGAAAGCCAACTGCGGAATGCCTGTTCAGTATCCCGATGGCGAAAAAGAAAAATGATGCCTGAGCTATTGCGCTCTTCCAATATATACACCAGGCGGCATTCACAGAATACCCTCTGATGGAGGGCAATTGTTGGGGGGCATAGCTCGGGCACGAGCGATTCTCCCAAGGTCTGGACGCGCGACCTTGACTCCACCGCCCGCGCGAACTAGAGCGCCAGCCTCAAGAGCCCCGCGCAAAGAGATGGTCAAGACGACGTCGAATAACCTGCCGATACACCTGTTGCGCGAGAACGACGATCTCCGCGCAACACACCCGCGTGAAGTAAAGTCCCGCGCAATGTAAAAACCAAGACGACGTCTTAGTCCTGGCATGTTGTCACTTCACATTCGTATACCTAATGATAGCCTAGTTATATGTCTTGTCCTGATGTCTTGTCAACCAAAATCCCCACCCACCGAGGGGAGCCTATAAATAGAGCATTTACCCCGGTGGGTGAGGGGATCGATTTCTCTTTCTCTATCTAGAAATACAAGAAGTTTCTCTCTTTAAGTTTCCCTCCACTCTCTCCCTACTTCTAATTCCCGTTAAGTGTGCGAGCGGATCTCGCTCCCACTCACTCGCGCCCCAAACCCCACAATGCCTCCCTCCTACACCCAGTTAGGCACAAACATCAACTAGCTTTCATAGTGGGTAATTATAAGAGATATATAAATTTTCAGCTGATTGAAAACAACCCAGGTCTTTAGGAGTTTCTTTCATGTCTGTTGTTAACTTAGTTTTCTTTTTTTACTGTGTCCGTTGTTAACTTGGTTATTCTACCATTCATTTGCCTAATTGACTATGAGAGATCGCTTGACTTGGCATATCACGAAGAATGGCTTCTAGAGTACTAGATTATACTTTTTGGAGAAAGGCCTGCATTCTTTATTTGACAAATGTTGGGAGTTCTATCGCTCCTAGGATGAGAATTTTGATATGACATATTTTATCCGACATATTTTATTTATTTTGGAATGATAATTAGCATTTAGCTTCCTTTAGGTGAGGCAAGACGATTATGAATGCTTTTCCGACTTGACTCGTTTTGGACCTATCTTATTCTCGTTTCATTTTATGTTTAAATCAGATGTAATTTTACTCAAATAATTTAGTATTTTACTTTTATTAAATAATATTTTAGCTATGATAAGGCTGTAAATAAGTAAAACTTCAATTGTTTGAATAATTTAAATGTATTTATCATGTCATAGTTTGCTTCTCGATTGTAATGAACCGGCCAAGTAAAACTCTAAACAAAATTTCCAACCGGGCACAAAACAAATTATAGGATCAATCTAACCCGCCACAACCTTGAACTAAATATCTAGCGTGTCACAAAACGAGCATAGACAGCAAGATACACGTCCGACCAGCCCATTACCATTCCTAGCCCACGATTTAAAGCAGCCCATCGTCCTCTTAAACAGCTTGTTACCATTGCAAAGCCCACACAATTTGTGCCTTTTCCAACCCAGCCCGTCGTCCTCTTAGCCGTTCACCTGACCCATTATAGCCAACATCCATGAACCCATCGGAAGATGTGCGCATCAATATTCGGATAATTAATCTAATTATGATGACAATTCTGGATCTAATTCATCATCTATATGACTTGTTTGGAATGAGAAAATTTTATAAATACTCTTCCCCGGCTTAGGATCTAAGTGGACCCAGAAAATTCAGATGTAAGGGTTGTCAATTAAATTTATTTTATTTTCTCTAGTTTTCATATTCGGCTCTTATCTTCTTCGTTTTAACTCGGATTTCAATTTTTTTTATGCACACATGGAACGAGTTCGTTGTGCTCTACAAAATGAGATCAATTTTCAATATATTTCGAGCAACTTTTTTTTACCAACTGCATACCATATGGTAATTTCTTCATTTTTAAGTCATTTTTGAAAACATTTGCTCAGAAGGAACGAGTTTATCATAATCTATTGGATCTACAAATTTCTGGGTGAAAAAAATACTAGACCAAAAATTATCATACTTTACCATTATGGTATGTGGGTGGTAACTTGTGGTAAACAATGATGAAAATTGTAAATTATAGTTAGTATACTTCTACTATCATGTATTCAACCTTCTTACCATATTGGTATGTTCATACCATCATGATACGCTTTCTTACCATATGGTATTAAATATGAGCATACCATATGGTAATGACTGGTAAAAAATTATTCAATTTTTTGTACTAAAAATATATATAAAAGTGGATATCATTTTAAAGAGCATATTTAATCTGATTAATCTGTGCAAAAAAATTTAAATTTCGACTTAAAATGAGAGAGAAATCGTCCGTTAAATATTAAAGGGGAAACGATAAAAGACTTTCCAGAAGAAAGGAGATGCTGATGTCATGCGGATGTGTACATGTTACTGATGGTTATTCACCATAGAAGTTACTGACCTCGTCCGCTCGACCGCTCCCACTCTTCCCGACTTGACTTGTCTAGCTAGTTGTAATTGTTGCTCTTTCCTTTTTAAATTTAAACCATATATAATTTTAACTAAATTATTTAAAAATTTACTCTTATTATATGATATTTTAACTAACCAAGCACATCCGTGATCCTTTATCGAACTCCGCGCAAACAAATTCCAAAATCAAAGCCCTACATTTGCCGGCATAAGTAAATTAAAGAAATAGGGTCTAGTAGTTAGAAACCTCCGGCCGCCGATGTAGACTGTCGTGGACGAAGCCCACCCCTCCAAATTGGTTGACAAAAATAAAGAATCAGTAGCTGTCGCGTTTGTAAAATTAATGACGGATATGCTCTCTTGCCGCTCAAGAAGCAGACCAAGCATTGAAACCAAACACACTCCTCGAAAAAAAACCCCCCAAAAAAATAGCAAAAAACTCTGAATATGAACGACCCTCAATCCTACCCGCCGGTCTTCCGCCGCCGCCGACAAACCAGCAACGGAACCATCCACGTCGACGAGGGTGGCGGTGGCGGTGGGAAGCCCGAAGAAGCAGTAACCACCCAACACAAATCACCTCCCCTCGAGGCGGCGGTGCCGGTAATAGATCTGGAGCGGCCGGACGTGGGGAAGCTCCGGGAAGCGGGCCGGGAGTGGGGGTTTTTCCGGTTGGTGAACCATGGTGTCCCCGAACCGCTTCTGGAGCAGCTCAAGACTCACGCCGCCGATTTCTTCGCCCAGCCCTTCGACTCCAAACAGGCTCTGTTCTCCTCCGGCGGCGATGGAACGGCGTCCTACTTCTGGGGCACGCCCATTCTGAACTCGTCCGGTCGGACCCTGGATAAGTCGGCCCAGGAGATCAATTGGGTTGAGGCCATTAATCTCCCTCTCTCTTCCTCTCAACTTCCTGCAACTTGTCATCATCCATCGCTTCAATCCTTCAGGTACCTTCTTTTTCTTTTGTGCCGGCTAGAATGGAAAAATCGTATCGGAAGTTGTACTGAAAAAAGCTATAGGTAAGGTAGTTTACGCTAAAATTATGATTTAACACTGATTCAACCGTTTCATAATGCTAAATACCACATATTGGTTTCGTTTCTAGTAGGAGTTTTTTTTTCCATGTCGTCGTCACGGTACGGTTTTTCAATCCATGCTTTAGTATTGTGCATATATGCAATTTGGATAACTCATTCATGAACACACACTAGTTATTGAACCTAGCTCTATCAACAACCCGAATTATTAGTATCAACTGATTCTTGACAGTGATATAAACTTCTTGAATTATTCATCATCACTGTATATGCAACTAGTTTCATGTATATATCACTAAAATGGGTCATTTCCATAAGGTCAAGACTATATTAAAGGCAATGGATGACTTGGCTTTGTAGGTTGAATGTATAATTTTACTGTACAACTTATGAATCATTTTCACTCCAAAAAATGGGTTAATTGCATGGTTGGTCACTGAGATTACAAAAAAACGTTCATGTTTGGTCATTGAAAATATTTAATTCTATTGGTGGTCACTAATTTTAATGAAAGCATTCACATTTGGTCACTCTCTGTTAGTCGCCGTCCATCTCCGTTAACAGAGTCCGTTAAGTGGTGACGTCGCTGACAGAATCGTCTAATCAGCCCTATTTAATCCAAAAAAAAATGAGACCCGACCCACCACATCACTAAGTCCTGCATTGTCATCTGAACCAACTCAACCCTCTAACCATACCTGACCTATGAACCGACCCACCCAAATTAAATCCCTAAATCTAGAACAAATCTACCTATCCCCTTCCTCCCTCCCTCCTTCCTCCTGACTTTCTTCCTCTTCCCCTGATAAACAGGTGCAACCGGATCGACATCGGGGCTTCGGATTTTTCTATCTCTACTGTAGGAAAAATTTCCATCACTTTGTCGGGAAAATTATCAGAGGATGAAAGCGGTGAATCGTGAGAAAGAAAAACAATGTCGCATAGCGACACCATCCCTCTCCACTCTTCCTCGCAGTCGGACATCGACGAGATCGAGAACCTAATCAACGCCATCGTCCAGTCGGGCCCGATAACAGTTCAACCCACCTGCCCAACGAGTCCGCCGCGGATCCCCGTCTCGTCCTCTCTGTTCCTCCAGGACAACCTCCCACCACCCACGACGACGGCATCGAAGATGCCCCCTCTCCCATCGTCCTCTGCGCCGCCTTCTGTGTTTTCCGCCACTGTCCCCGGGCCCACACCCTGCTCGCGAGCTCAGCCGAATCGAACAATTTTGCGGATTATGGATTCGGCGTCTGTCGAGAATCGTGAGTAATTTGAAGCTTTAGATCAGTAACTTCTCAACGCCTCTTACTCCCTCTCTCTTGCTCTGTGCCTGCCTCCAACCCCGTTCCCGAAATGCTCAAAGGCTCCCTGAAATCCACTGTCGCAGCCTTGCTTTTTCCTTTCTCCGCTGCCGCTTATTTATTCCTTCTATCAATCCTTTCTCGCCCCTTCACCACAATCCCACTCCCAGAAATTGAAAAAAGACGAGTACTCCAAGAACAGGAAATCCGCACAACAATCTCCATAGTCGCCGACGCCTCGCCACTTGCCCTTCCCTTTCCCTCCACCGCTTCTTTCTTCCTTCCTCCAATTCTACTCAACAACCCTCATCTTTGTTGGCAGTAAGCTCAATTGCTTCTTTCTTCCTTTGGCGGTTCCAGGGGTTTATCAGGGGAAGAGGAAGAAAGTTGGGAGGAAGGAGGGGAAAAGGGATAAGTGGATCTGTTCTAGATTTAGGAATTTAATTTGTGTGGGTCGCTGCACAGGTTGGGTTTGGTTAGAAGTTTGGGTTGGTCCAAAATGATGTGGCGGGTCTTAGTGACGTGGCGGGTCGGGTCTCATTTTTTGGGATTAAATAGGGCTGATTAGACGATTCCATCTGCCACGTCAGCACTTAACGGACTCTGTTAACGGAGATGGACGACGACTAACGGAGAGTGACCAAATGTGAACGTTTTCACTAAAATTAGTGACCATCAATAGAATTAAATATTTTTAGTGACCGAATATGAACGTCTTTTGTAATCTCAGTGACCATGCAATTAACCCAAAAACTTACGAATCATTTTACTGTTACCGCATGCATGCATCAGGATATTGTCTTGAGTCATTAGTGATGATGAACTATATATAGCGATGTATGTAGTCTAGGCATTTTTGAAAGAACAAATTAAAGGAACAAAGCTGGCGATTCACGACCGTATCGTGACAAATTAAAGGAGATTCTTTTGTTTGCGGTGTCTGTGGAGTTCGTACAAAGGCCGTATCGTGACAGGAAATCGATTCCCCCATCTGTCCATTTGTCGAGGATTAATGTTTCGGCTTAAGTCTTAAATGTGCAAAGTGGTTTCTTGTCCGAATTCTCAAGAAAAATGAGTGTTGTTATTGGCCGGATTTGGATGGGAAAAAGTAGAATTTTGTCTAGTTATTTAAAGAACTAGTTTACGAACGGACTCGTTAGTACACGATCGAGGGTGAACCAAGTTACGATGTCAGACACGTGAGCTAGCTAGACTAATTAAGTGGTTTTGGTGAGTTTAATTAGTTCTTGAGTTGCTTGATAATGTAGATCATGCAAGTGTACTCACTTATTTTGTAAATTAGTTATTATCTTTTTTTTTGTATTTTTCGTTGAGATTACGATATTACAGTATTTTTAGTAAACAAAAAAAAATATCAAGCTCATTTCATAAGAAGCCTAGGTCGTGCTTAACTCAATAAACATGAATTTTATTTTATTTATAGGTCAAACAAACTTGTTATAGAAAATTACTTCTAGTCTGAACAAAAATTAGTAAATGAGTTTAGCTCGAGCTAGGCAAATATTGTACTCCCTTATGACTAGTGTTTGAGCTTAGCTGATTGGGCCCCCAATTATTGGCCTGCGGCTTTAATATGGGGCTTCTTCGATAAATTGATAAGTACGCTCCACCAACATTTTTGCTTTTTAATACGTCAGACGACTAATTGTTCTTGCGCTACGATACGAACCCTTTTTGTAGAACGCTGGTGGAAGAGTACGGGAAACACATGGGCCGAATCTCGAGGACGGTGGCGGACGCAATGGGAAAGCTTGCGAGTTTGGAGTGCGGCGACTACGTGTCCGAACCCACCGGCATCATCCGAGTTTACCGCTACCCGCAGGTTCCACCTCAGCAGCCGGCCGACGGTGACGGCAACAATAACAATGTTGTCGCCGAGCAGGAGACGTCACCGGCGCCGTTGGGGATGCAAGCCCACACGGACAGTTCAGTGGTGTCGATAGTGCTGCAGGACGACCAAGTGAGCGGCCTCCAATTCCTGAAGAACGATGTCTGGGTGCCCCTCGAACCGGTCCCCAACACCCTCGTCGTCAATATCGGTGACATGATGCAGGTAAATCGATAATGTAAGAAAGTAAAAAAAAAATACAATTTTTTTGGATTCACTAATACGATTTGTGTCAGTTAATTTACGAGCACCCAGCTGACCCATGACTAGATAATATGTTTTCAAATTATACTAGTTTTTTTTGTGGGTTTTGAAGGCGATTAGCGACGATGAATTTAGGAGCGTGAAGCATAGGGTGAAGGTGAAGAAGTGCAAGGAAGACAGAATATCAATATGCTACTTCGTGTTCCCTGGAGAAGGCCAGATAATGGAGAGCTCCAAGTACAAGCCCTTTACTTACAGAGAGTTCCAGCAACAAGTGCAGGAGGACATCAAGACGCTGGGATTTAAGGTTGGGCTGGAGAGGTTCAAACGTACGATTGCCGGTTGATCCACCGGCTACGAAGCTAGCAGCTAGTTTAATTAACTAGCTCTGGTCTGGTGCACTTTATATATACAACTCGATCTTTAATTAATACGCTTTTTAATACGTACGGGACATCTTTTTATCGTGGTAATAATAACTAATAAGGCAAGGTTTTTCCAATCTAAGATATAATAATTAGCTAAAAGCTTTGCCGACTATATAATGTTGTTATTACATATATCATCATCAAATCAATCATCATCAAACAATAACTATATAGAGATTCTTCCCCAACACCCATTTAATCTCCCTTTTCCTGGCTGCTGCGCAGGTCACAGAAGGATGATTTTGTCTTTTCCTTTAATTCAATTGGGCCTCGAGGCCCTCCACTTATTTCCAAGCAGGCCGCAAAAATACTTTTCTTTTCTCAACAGCTTAATAATTCATGACCACGAAAAATAAGGCCACAATTCCATAGTCATTAGAAACGTCCATCTTGGGGTGTGAACTATTGTTCACTAACTGCATTTATATTACAAAGTACAAATAGGGAAGGCAATGGGTCGGGTCGGGAACGGATAGTGCATATCTGTTACCCTACCCAAAGTAGTTCGGGTTTTACCCATGTCCATACCCACATAAGAAATGGGTAGAAAATCCAAACCATGCCCATACCCGTTCGGGTTTCTGGTATCCACGGTTATCCAAGGGTAATAGTTATTCTTTATAACTCCAATCAATATGTTAATATTTACACGTATTCGCACGTTACATAAGACGAAAAGTACGACAATAATTCACTAGAATGAAGAAAATTAATTAAAACAACACAATTTCATAAGAAAATTATATTTATATGCTAAATATAAAATATGTTAGAGAATATTGATTATTTCTAGACAAAATACATATGCATGTGTATAATCGGGCGAGTTCGGGTTGGATAGTGAGAAAACCATGTCCACCCATTACCAGTAATATTCGGGTTTGGATTTTACCCGTGCCCACTAAAATTCTTTCGGGTTCGGGTTTTACCCTACCCAATTAGGTCGGATTCGGGCGGATATCCACGGTTACGGATATTTTTGCCATCCCTAAGTACAAACCAAACCCAAGTTTAAGCAATTAATTAAGGTTTTCAATTTTATGTTACAACCCCCATCAAACTATTGAACTAATATTATTTAGACTGATATTTTTGGAGACTACATTTTTTTTTGTAGTTCTATGATTCGAAGAAATATTCCCGACTGAGAATCATCAAAACAACCAAATAGTGTGTCAATTTGATCGCTCAAATTTTAATGTAAGTATAAATAATTGTATTGATATAATTATATACATCTTATCTTACAATTTAATGTGTGCTCATGGCACATATGATTTAATTTAAGGAAAAATGTAGTTGTTTTATATCCCTGGAAGTTGTGATTAATTTTGATCAATCTAATTCTGAAGCGCAAAATAAGTTATCTAATGGTATGAGCATCAATATGACTCAAATGTATACTAACTACAACCACACAAATTCAACCTATATGATTAAAGTTTCGCAGTTTTATCAACATGCTTTTTTTACTTCTTCATTGTAATGATATTTGGGTGCAACCCAAAGAACAAATCAAGGACTTCAAGGTAATGATATTTCATGACCAAGAGATTTTACACCATTAAGAACTTCCAGGTCAGTCTGGCAAAGGAAATTTCTTTCAGGTTCGAATTACTATTTTCAATTCAAATTTAATTCAAACTTATGCATATAAAACCAAACCATTTATTTTTCAATTTTTAATTCAACAGATGTTGTTAGCCAGCTTATTTAAGCATTTAGGTTTATCCACAACCACTAGACTCAATGGAAAAGTCACCCCACAAAGAGCTCAAACTCAAACTTCTCGAGTATGTAATTATTTTAGCTTTCCGTTTAAAATAGCATGCATTAGTTTAAATCTAATATATAATTTGGGTGGTTTTGCAAGTTTGGTCACTTGCATTACTAGTAAAGTTCACATTACCCACTATAATTACTTTATTCCATTAGTAGTCACTTAAATTAAGTTAACAGTCCAAGTTTGGTCATTGGCCGTTAGTCTCCGTTAACTTTTGTTGATGTTGCGGTCAACTCTAATAGTTGACCGTTAAATGAGTGACGTGGAAATTAAAAATTTAATAAAAAATAAAATTTGAACTTTTCTGATTTCCAACTCATTTTTCTTCCATCACCTCCGCCGCCGAGTTATCCGGCATTTTAAGGTGCGCCGTCGTCGCTGCTCCAACTCGCTCTCCCCTTCCTCATCTTCCTCCTCCATTTCCTCGTCCTCTAGCTCGCTCGCCGATGTCGCTGTCTCGGCGGCGGAGGAGAGGACTGGGAGAAGGAAAGCAAGAGCGGCGGCTGCGATAACAAAAAAAAAAAAAAAGTAGCAGCAAAGCGGGGAGCGGTGGTAGTAATAATAATAATCAGGTGAAGAGGGCGGCAAAGAAAGGATTGGAGAGGACGAGATCTGCGAGCATTAGGATTCGGTCGATGATTAATGTCCCGATTTGCAGCCAGATGAAGAGAACTCACAGCAGCGCATTGTCGTCGTTCTTTCCGATTAAGAAGAATAGAGTGGTAGAGATATGAATGCAGACAGAGAGAGAGAGAGAGAGAGAGAGAGAGAGAGAGAGCCATTAATGCTATAGACATTGATGGCCTCGGAGCATCGCCGCTGGCCGCTGTTCCTTGGACGATTGCAGCGTCAGAGGGAGAGGGTTGTCCACCTGCGTACGTATAATGCCAAGAAGCATCCCCACCGACGATTTCTTTTTCATCCCCATCCCCTGCATCCATATCTTTCCCTCCCTCCCCTATTTTCCTTTCCCATCAAAATCCACTTCATTTGCTAGCAATCCTAGAAATGAATTGAGTCATTTCATAATCAGGAGGAGGCAAGGTTCAAGTAGTGGTAGGGTAGCAGCGACGGCGGCGCACCTCAGAATGCCGTAGAACTCGGCGACTTAGGTGATGGAAGAAGTGGTGTGGGTCAAGTTGATCGGACATTTTTGTTTGGTCAATGGGTATAAAAATGAGTTGGAAATTAGAAGTTTAAATTTTATTTTTATTAGTTTTTTAATTGCCACGTCACTCATTTAACGGTCAACTATTAGAGTTGACCGCCACATCAGCAAAAGTTAACGGAGAGTAACGGCCAGTGACCAAACTTGGACTGTTAACCTAATTTAAGTGACTACGAATGGAATAAAATAATTCTAGTGGCTAACGTGAACTTTACTAGTAATTCAAGTGACCAAACTTGCAATTTAGCCTAATTTGGGTACAGGGATTGGTTGTCAAGGTCACTCTCTTTTGTAGGATAATTATTTAATTACCCAACTAAATGTCATCCTTGCAAATGCGGCTGATCGTCCTCTCATTCCGGTCATCACATTATTATATGTTGCTTTTCACAATGGCAAGGAAATATCTAAATTAATTTATTATTAATCCAAACATTTAGAATTATATTAATGACAATTAATTAAATGATCGTCAAATTTGAAAGTGAGAACACCTTCTCCTCACTTGGAGCGACCTTGCTGCTGGCGAATTTGAGAATTCTGGAAGCTATTAATTTTGTGACAAGGTGAATTTCAAGAAAATTTAATTATCGTATTTGGTTATGCATTATAAATTTGAAGTTTAAAAGAGATAGAAGAGATTAATTACCATTTTTCATGAATAAAGTGACAGTGATGCACATGTTGCTCCAGAAAGCCGAGGAAAACATCATCGATCAATCCCAACCTTTTACTACATGAGCTAAATCAATTATAAATGAAAGATGGAGAAGAGGTAAGTATCATTTTGATTTAACAACCTCATTAACTATTACATGTTGACACTTTATGTAACATGTATTCCGTCAAATGCAAAGTGTTCAAAGTTATGAATGATTTGTGCTATGCTAGAAGCGACACCTGTCTACAAAAACTCTATTTAATCAAAGGATATTTCTTTTATCTATCCAAAAGAAGCTATTAAATTAAGAACAAGGATCCACTCCTTTGGTAAAGCCAGTAACCTACACTGGCCTGCTATCCAATCAACCTGCACATTCAAGCGTCAAGGAACAAATTATACACAAATCCACGGGGCCAACTGGAGAACAGAGACCATGCGAGAAATAGAAGCACGACATTGCCACGGCCACAAAGATTGTTCTTGGTTTAGAGCTAAAGCTAGAACTTGGCAATCCGGCACAATGCCACAAAAACTTGAAGAAGACTCAGTTCAATACTTGAATACTTTTGTAGGAACTGTACAATGACATTAACGACAAAAATAGCCAGGTAATGCAACGATTATTAATGGGAAAGTTGGTTTTATATAGTTCATTGACGAATATATATGTCAAATGGTTGAATATTTACTTTTCTACAACATATTTTATATTATTTTTTATGTTGAATTCATACATAATTACCAATACAACAATAAATAACATTTTTCTTATTAATTAGCAATACATGGTATTGATAAACGAGAAAAGATTACATACATTTTACATATTAAATATTTTTAATAACTTAATATAAAGAGATTCGAGAAAATTGGTCGGAGGCTACTTTTGTCTTCTACTCATAGGTTTACATGTAGACATAAAATGAGGTGATTGCTTGATTGGCATGTGCTTCTCTATTTATTCTCATTTTGAAACATTATGCTTCTATGATGGTTTGCCTATTTATATTTTGGTGGAATGATCATTTGGATCTTTTGGATATTGTTAAGAAAATATATGGTCTTTCCACCTATCTTGCTTACGAGACTATTTCTCTATTGCTAATTGAATAATTTTGAGTTTGTGCATTTACCAACTATAAAATAGCGTACTTCAATAATTTTTATTGTTGCTTATGACATTATCATCATTATACAAATTCAGGATCCACCTTTGAATTGCAGACAAAACAATAAAGGTTGACTTTGTTGTGGGTAAAATACCTCGGGTGCAACTTAAGTTTGAGAATTGGAGTAGACATACCACTTAAGTTTGAATAGGGGTGTCGGGTACCATTAAAGTTGCCAAAATGTGCATCCGTCTACTTTTCCATCCAACCCAAACTTTTAATTACTTTTTGATAACAAAACTTTTAAAACATTCAAAACTATATTTCAACAAGTTTTATCTAATATAAT